GGGCAGAGAGTACCCTCGAGCCCTCGCCCGTGCCGCCCAGGATTGAGCAGGGACCGACCGTCCCGGCATTCCTGCAGGCCTACCACAACATGTTCTTAGAACCCAGAAATGTTCTAAGAACGAGAAGCATGTTCTTAGAACATGCGCCCGATGGCTTAAAACAAGACAGTCTCAGCATGAAATGTTCTAAGAACATTTCGTGGAAACCACAAGAGGTTCCTAGAACATTGTTTGGTAGGCCTATAGGCGAGCCAGGACGCTTCGCCACTTCTTGAGGTGTCGCCCACGAGGCCGGCAGCCACCGCCGTCGCACCTGCCGGGGAGGCCGCGCAAGCCCGAACCCGCAGGCCAGCGGCCCAAGTCGCGCGAGGGGCCGCGGGCGGCGCCGCCTCCAGAATCGGCCACGCGTGCGCCTCGCCCAGCACGCTCACCTCCTCCTCCTCCTCCTCCTCCTCCTCCTCCTCTTCCTCCTCCTCATCTTCCTCCTCCTCCTCATTCTCCTCCTCCTCCTCCTCCTCCTCCTCCTCCTCCTCCTCCTCCTCCTCCTCCTCCTCCTCCTCCTTCTCCTCCTCCTCCTCCTTCTCCTCTTCCTCCTCCTCCTCCTCCTCCTCGCCGTCGGCGCCGGCCGCCGCTTCAGGCGCGTGCACGAGTACGAGGCCTCTGCGTGCACGCAGTGCTGCCACCGCGGCGCGCAGAAGGCCTGCAGCAGGCGCACTCCCGCGAGGGAGCGGTCTACGGCCACCCTCTGCTGCGAGGGTGGCGAGGAGGGCGCCGCGCGCCGACTCCTCCGCGCACCGCCGCTCGACCTCCTGCGTGAGCGCAGTGGGCATGACCAGGCGGCGAGCGCGGCCGACCCGAGGCGGCGCGCCGGGCGACGCGAGGTTTATCCGAACGGTTGCTGTGTGTCTGTGTGTTGTGTTGCTGTGCTGTGTTGTGCTATGTTGTTGTGTGTTGTGTGCTGTGTGCTGTGTGTTGTGCTGTGTGTTGTGTGTTGTGTGTTGTGTGTTGTGTGTGTTGTGTGTTGTGCGCTGTGTCTTGTGTGAAACGCAATGGACGTCTATAGACCCCGTCGCCGTCCGAGCCCGAGCCCGAGCCTGAGCGCGAGCCCGAGCCGAGCCCGAGCTGGAGCTCGAGCCCGAGCCGCAGCCGGAGCCCGAGCGCGAGCCCGAGCGCGAGTCCGAGCGCGAGCGCGAGCGCGAGCCCGAGCGCGAGCCCGAGGCTCTACCTCGGGGCCCGCTCGGGGCCGCTCCGGGCGGGCCTCTCCCGAGCGCCCCTCGCCCCCGAGGACCTCTGCCGCGCGACCGGACGGGTGCCCCCGCTGTGGCGCGGTCAGGAGCGCCGCCGCGCGCGGGGAGGTCTGCTCTGAGCCGAATCGGCTGCGGAGCGCGGAGGCGGAATGGACTCCTCCTCGTCCTCCTCCTCCTTTTTCCTGCTCCTCCTCCTCCTCCTCCTCCTCCTTCTCCTCCTTTTTCTGCTCCTCCTCCTCCTCCTCCTCCTCTTCCTCCTCCTGCTCCTCCTCCTCCGCGTCTTCCTCCTCCTCCTCCTCCTCGTCCTGGTCGTATTCCTCCTCCTCATCTTCCACCTCCTCCTCCTCCTCCACCTCCTCCTCCTCCTCCTCCTCCTCCTCCTCCTCCTCCTCCTCCTCCCTCCCTCCTCCTCCTCCTCCTCCTCCTCCTCCTCCTCCTCCTCCTCCTCCTTCTCCTCCTCCTCCTCCTCCTCCTCCTCCTCCTTTCCTCCTGCGCGGTCACCGAATGCGCGCTGGCGGCCAAACCCTAGGGAAGCGACCGTGTGTTGGGCATGCTTGCATTGATGCCAGAGTTGTGGAGTAAGGCGCGGGCTACCCTCAGTGAATCATGGACGGAGGGCCTATCGGATCATTGGGACACTGCTATCAGAGGATCATCGGCGTTACGGGCCGGGCTATTCCGAGCCTGCTTGGATGAGTCGGGGTTGGAGATGGGGTCACTTCTCTGACCCTGATGCTGGACATACTGGACATAGAGAAAGTGTACGATGACGTGTCTTTGGTGATGCTCATCGGTATTGCAAGGAGATTTGGTTACCCTGCAGCGCTGATGTCTTTGGAAGTGCAGTTGTCTTTTGGCTCCCAGATATTTGCAGGAGAGATCGATCCTGAGCAGGCCTATCTTCCCTGCCCGCTCTTTGGTTGCGGGCTCCCCGCGTGGAGTGGGGCTGGCGGAGGTGTTTCTTCACCCTATCTTGGAGTACGTCCATCGCAGGTCGCCCGCGTCGGGTCTTTGGACTTTCGTGGATGATTTCACGGCGCGGTGCGAAGGCAGCCGTGCTTCGGTCGGGGAAGCCATGTTCGCCACTGCTAAGGACCTCAAAGCTGGGCTGGAAGATCGGCGTATGGTCGTGTCGGCCAAGCCGGTCCTCACTGGCTCAGACCCAGTGGTTACTACACGTACCGCGAGACGGCTCCGTGCATGTGGCCTCCCAGTGACTCCGGCTACGTCGGCAGCGGATCTGGGTCTGGACACGTCAGCGGGACGCGAGCGTACTATGGCGAGGGCTACCTTGAGATTGAGTGCCCTGAAGGGTACTGGCAGGATGCGGAGACTACGTCGAGAGGGCGCCCTGGCCAGGATGTCACGTGGTCTATGGAACGCTGGAGCCGTCCCACAGGCGCTCTATGGGCATCAGACTTTTGGTATGAGCGCGAAGTCACTTTTACTTTGGAGGCGTCAGGCTGGTCACATGATCGGTGGCAAGTGCAGAGGTCGGTGCCTGACGACCACGCTGGGATGTGACCCGTCGATGCCCGACCCCGCCGTGGAGGTACCCCTTCAGGTGCTCAAGGAATGGATTACACTGTGGCAGCGCAACCCTGGTATCCATGATAGGGTTATTCGCTCTTGGGCTTTGAGACGCTTTCGACTGAGGAAGGCTGCGGTCAGGAGACGGTCGTCAGTGCGAGGCCTTATCTCCACGCTGCATGCCACCTTGATGGACATGGGCTGGGACCCTGTTTCGGCTACGACATGTCTGCGACCTACGGAGTGCGATGCCGACCCTGTCGAGGGACATTCCGTCTGTGCGTGATGACGGCTTCACTGGCTTCGGATCGTTCCAGGCCCTGTTCGACGATGCCGAGGCGGACATGCGTGGCTTCCTGTGGAGAGCGGCTGCCAAACATACGGCTGGGACGGACCTCGCTGGCGGAGCGGACATGAACCAGATTGTGCGCGAGCAGCGGCGCCTTGAGAAGCAGGGCCAGATGGAGCTGCTTGCCACGGATACCACAGGTGTCTGTGAGGGTCAGTGGACGAAGCAAAGAGGTGTCGACGATGGTCATCTGATCGAGCCGACATGCGCCCATTGTGGATAAGAGCCTGAGACACTGTTCCGTCACATTTGGACATGTGGGCGCCATCGTGAGCACGATGATCATAAGCTTACGCAGAGCTTGCTCCTGCAGGCCATGTCGAGACATGAGTCGGAGCCTAGTCTGTGGTTTCGGGGCCTCCCCCCCTCGCACCTCACCCGCCCCGTTTTTGACGAGGAGGTGATCCGAGGTTTGGAGGAGAGGTTTGGGGGCCCTGATGCTTTCTCCCAGTGTCGCCAGGGCGGCCAGCTGTACGCTTTTGAGACGGATCGGGGGGAAAAGTTAGTGACGACCCCCGTCGTCGAAGGTGTGGTGCTGCTATCACTGCCCTGGGGAAGTCAGAAGGTGAGCTTACGCTCGGAGCCGCATGCGGTTCCCCCACCCAGGGCAGCGTTTCGTAGGCCCCAGTGGGGGTGTCCACTTGAGATTCCCCCACCCAGGGCAGCGCTGAGCTCCACCGAAGGCCCCAATGGGGGTGTTCGCATGCGTCTCCCCTACCCAGAGGTAGCGCCACCGAAAACGATATTCATATTTGCGGTACTCACAACTGCATGTGGTTGGGTCCTTCGCCAGGCTAATTTCAAATGATTTGGTATTTCCGCCGTTTGCGCTTCTGCTGCGCTTGGGAAGCCTAAGCTCACGGCTGCCCAAGCAGGCCTCAGGCGCCCTCAAGAGTGACCCGCGAGGCCTTCAAGAGAGGCCCCGGAGGAGGAGGAGGAGGAGGAGGAGGAGGAGGAGGAGGAAGGGAGGAGGAAGAGGAGGAGGAGGAGGAGGGGAAGGAGGAGGAGGAGGAGGAGAAGGATGAGGAGGAGGAGGACGAGGAGGCTAAGAGCCCCTCCCCGCCCCCAGTAGAGTTCCAAAGAGGCCCCAAAACATGTGAGACGGCTCTCAGAGGGTGCCCCCCGAGGATGATGCATTATGCCCAAAGGGGCAACCACGTGTTATCCAAGGCTGCCGAGACAGCCATACTGACCCCCAAGAAGGGCTAGGTACCCTCCTGAGGCCTTCAAGAAGGCGCCAGAAGCAAGCGAACGACAGAACATTGTCTCCAGCGTCCCCCCCAAGTGGTTTCCACAACGGCCGAAGGAACACACAACTTAGTAGCTTCGCCAAGGGCTGGTTGGCCGCATGGCCATGTGTACGTTTCCAAGGCAGGGGGGTCAGCGCGCTAGACTAAAGAATTGCAGCCATCGTGAAGGCATTCGGAACACTGACCATTCTCCTCCTCCTCCTCCTCCTCCTCCTCCTCCTCCTCCTCCTCCTCCTCCTCCTCGTTCTCCTACTCTTCCTCCCCCCTCCTCCTCCTCCTCTTCCTCTTCCTCCTTCTCTGCATCTTCCCCTCCTCTCAACCAAGGTTAAGCAGAACGTGAGTGAGAACGTGTTCAGTCAATCAAACTAATCCTCGTTGTGCTCGCCTTCCTCCTCCCCCTCTTCCAACCGCTCCTTCATCATCCTCCCTCTTACTTTTTCTCTACCTCTTGCTCCTCTTACTCCTCCTGCGCCCTCGTCCTTCTCCTCCGCTCTTCTTCCTTCGATGGGCCCACGCATGCACACGTGTTTCAGGCCTGGGCCTGCTGAGGCTGATCTCAAACGTCGGTATGTCGGCTTCCTCAACTCTCTGCTCCACTGTGTGTGCCCCCGCTTTCCTGATCGAGGCAGTTCGCCTGGGCGTCGCTGCTGGACGGGCCGGTGGGGACGTCCGAAGCGCCACGCCTTCCGACAACGGTCCACGCTCCAGAAACGCTTCCGGTGACGTGGCGGGGTCCGCAGACCCTGAACCCTCAAAGCATGGAATCTCTTGGAGCACCGACGCTTACTTCCGTCGGCCTCCGACGGCCCTCCGCCGGCGGGCCCGCCTCCCCCTTTACTTTCCGCCGCCCCTCCGCCGCCCTTCCGCCAGTGAAGGGATACCAACTCCTCCGGCTCCTCGAAGGCGAGGCACTTTCTCTGGAGCGCCCTGCATAGAGGAAGCCCAGCGCGGCGTGACGCCCTTCCTATCAGTTGATCCGACTGCGCAGATCACAGTCGAGCGAGCCAAGGGCTGGCCCCTCAGGGAGACATGCACGATGCAACGCCCAACTGCTCCATGCCAGCACGGGCCTGCTACCGAGAACCAAGGCTTGAGACTTCTGCAAGCGCTGGCACCTAACATGACATACAACTCAACCTGGCTCAGAGCTCAGCGGAGGAACCATATGGGTGCTGATCACAATGAGTGAGAATATCGCCAATCATATTTTTGGCCCTGTAAACATCTGTCCACGTTGTCAACAACCTTTTTTCAGACCAACCATAATAATGAGAGACGTAGAACAAGACGTGCAATGTTGCCCAAACCGAATACAACATTCCGCAGAAATCCGGCACCGTGCCCTCTGGCACGCCGTGGAGTGTTCTCATGCCTAGGGCGGCTGGCTGACTCCTGCAGTTTTCTGAAGCACCCCTCCCTCAAACCATCATCTGCTGGACCTCCCTCCAACCAGCATCCCTTCCAACCGACAATAGAAACCTTTCCCAAAATATCTCTTGATGGCCATAAGTCCATCCAAGATGCGCCTGGGGAACCCAGCATGACGCCAAACGGCCCAAAGAAGCGCCCGAGGATCCCTTCCAGCAAGCCCATGGGAGACCATGACACATGCTTCGACCCCCTAAGAAAGCAAGTCCCATATGTAACTGCCTTCTCTCCGCCAGGAAGACGACATGTTGTATGTTGCGGCCTATTTGGATCTGGGGGGGGAGACGGAGAGATAGAGAGAGTGAGAGAGAGAGGGAAACAACCAAATATAGATACAGGTATTACTTGTCACATCACTGTGGGCCCCTGACGAAGACAACTATCGTGCGTTGCGGCCTACTCGAGCCTGCGTGGGGTCGCGTCAGCTCGTAGAATCCTATGGAGCCTGGGGACGGCAACCTCTCGACAAAAAACCAATCAAAATGGCCTCGTGGCGGAACCTGCCGCAGGCACCCGGATACCTCTCGAACGTGTCCAGCCCGGGCCAACACTGGCGCTCTGGTGGAACTCGCTCCTGGTACTTCCCATTGAACATCCCGTCATTCCACACGTCGTCCTGGTCCCTGATCTGCTTGCATCCAACTAATATGGAGATAAAGCTTTCCGCGATACTGATTGCCTGAATGAGAAGGTTTGCAAGGATGTACTGGTCCAGGAAGGTCAAATACGATTTTATGGGCATCCACGACGAAGTGACCACTTTATACGAAACTGATGTCAGCAGGAGAGTGAACTGAATTTCGGCCCTGCCGTTGAAATCGTCTGGTCTACAGGCGTATGCAGCTACTGTCAGAAAAGTGATCGCGCAGTTCACCACCATCACGTTCAAAACGTAGAAAGTCGGAATGCGCTTCACATGTGTCACAACTTCAAGCGAAGACCTGAAAGCCTTGTCATCTAATTTCCAAACCATCACTCGGAAAGGTGGTACTTTCTGATTGCACACGTCTACGTCGCAATCGACCTTCCACTCTGTCGGAACTGGGGCGCTCTTCCATCCGGCGCGGTCGTCCTTGAACGGGGCCAGCTGCATGCGCCAGATCGGCTCCTCGGGGGGACATCCAGCTCACCGTTAACTCCCTTGCCCCCTGGCAGACCACACCTCCCGTATACACGTCTCCAGCCCGAAGGCCTGGCATACAGTCGGGGCGTTGACCTAAGGAACCCTGAATAAGGAACGAGGCCCCGTTTTTTCCATAAGTTAAACTTCGAGTTCCGATCGAAAACATAAGGAACACCTGAGGCAAGCTGTGAAACACTTAAGGAACGCGGAGCCCCTCCCCAACCAATAGGGTTCCTTCTTCAGGGCCCCGACTGTAGGCGAGGGGCCCGAGGGTGCCTTCAGGGGCTGGCGACAGGTTGCGGGCCGGGCACGCGTGGCATCGGCGGCACGCGCGGCACGGCACGCGCGGCACGGCACGCGCGGCACGGCACCGCACGCAGCCACGTGCCCGGCACGGGCACGCACCGCGCGGCAGGCACGACGAGGTGCAGACGTGCGGCGGCCGCGCCACCTCGCGGACGGCGTGGCGCGGCGCATGCCGTGTGCACGGCAAGACGCGCGTGGCAACGAGCGCACCGCACGACACCGCACGGCACGTCGCAGCGGGCGAACAAGCAAGACAAACGCACAACACAGATCGAACTGTCAAGGCTATCGTTCAGGGGCTGGTCGGATGGTGCAGCTAATTGCCTCAATGTCTTACCTGTTGCTCAGGGTTGGAGCAATGTCAGACTAGGGAGAGAGCTTCGGGATGAGATGCAGGGCTGGGTAAAACTCTGGTCGCCGTTGTGTGTAGTCAAGGGTTAGGGTTAGAGATGTGGTGATGGTAAGGTGCAAAGCCACGGCGCGTGTCGAAATGACAAACAAGATTCTTGGGCTTGCGTCACACCGCCGACCCATTGGGGAACTGGCGGTTGTTGCGCGTAGCTCCTAAGGGTCTCTTGTGCGCCTTTCGGGGGCTTCTTGGAACTCTTTTGGGGCTTCATGGGGGCCTCTTGGGAGCCTTTTCGGAGCTTCTTGGGCTGACATTCTCAGCATTCGCCGTGCACGCATGGGGAAACGGGCGAGAGCCCACGTATACAGACGGTGGGCATCTGCCAAAACACCTGAATAATGATCATCTAAGACGCCTACGGAGAATCACCGCCGCTCCCTGCCTTTTTGGAAGCGCCTGCGTGGCCGAACGTTGAGGCCAGACCTACCAAGCTATCGGACGACCATGTGTTTCCCGAATCGGTTTGGAAAGCCTTCGGGGAACACGTGGGCATCTTGAAAGTCATCTTGGCCGTCTGGAGGCCGTTTTGACCCTTTCGGGCCTTCTTGGAGGGCGTCTTGGAGGGCTCTTGGGCCGCCTTGGAGGCCATCTTGAGCGTCTTGAAGGCCTCTTGAGCCGTCTTGGGGACCTCTGGGGGGCGTCGTGGGCCTCTTGGGCGATCTTTGGGGGCACTTGGGCCGTCTCGGGCCGTTGGAAGGCCGAAAAAAGCAAATGCCACAATCCTTCCAAAACTCATGGGAAATCAATGATTTTGGCCATTTCGGTCCTTCCTGGAGGCCCTCATGGAAGCCTCTTGGGCCGTCTTGGGCCATCTTAGGGCCATCTTCGGCCGTTTTGGTGGGCTCCTGGCCCGTCTGACGCCGTCGGAAGCCGTTGGGGGGGTGCCGAAGAGGCTCCCAAGAAAGCCCAGAGACGGCCCAGGAGGCTCCCCAGATAGCTCAAGAGGGCCTCGACAGCGCCCCAAGAGAGCCCCAAGAGCGACCCAAGAGGGCCCGAAGAGCGCGACGTTTCAAGGTCTCCGGCCTGAGAGGCTCCTAGGACGCCCCCTGAGGCCATCATGGCTCCCAAGAAGCCCTGTGAGGCTCCCAAGGTCCCCCGGAAGCCCCAATAGGCCCCCAAAGGGCTCCCAGGGAAGCCCCCTGCGGGCCCCCAAGACACCTCGGTACGTCGCATTTCCCAGACAGCGTTCCGGGAACATGATTCCTTGGGCTTCCGCCCGCCGCCCCAACCATGTTTCCAATAGGCTTACCGACGAGGCCAAAAAGGGGCCCCTCTTAGGAGAGCCGAACAAATCATGCTCCCGGAAAACTTCCCGGGAACATGTTTCTCTATCTCGGAGTAGGCCCGGGGGGGGGGGCGGGCCGCTGCTGTTCCCCCCATCGGTGGCCGCCAGGGGTTGTTGGGCGGGGGTCCAGAGCTCCCGATCGAGGCGGCCCGGGCCCGCCCTGAAACAGGCCACGACATGCTAAGGGGATCCCGAGAGGGTCCAAGACGCTCCCAAGAGGCCCCGAAGACGCCCAAGATGCCCTCAAGACAGCCGACGACGACTCCAACGCGCTCCAGGACGGACCCGAGAGGCTCCTCAAGGCCCTGGGAGGCAAGATTCACTCATTTTCCGAGTGTTTTGGATTTTGGCGTTCTCGCTTTTCCCGCTTCCCAGCGCTCCCTCACGGCCTTGGAGGCCTCACGGCCCACGAGGCCCCGAAGAGCGCCCAAAGACTGCCCAGAAGGCTCCCCAGACAACCCAAGTGTGCCCCAAGAGAAGGCCCAGAGGGGTCCCGAGACGGCCCGGGCCCGCCCCGAAGCAGGTCACGACATGCTAATGGAGGTCCCGAGAGGGCCCAAGACGCTCCCAAGAGGCCCCGAAGACACCCAAGATGCCATCAAGACGGCCGACGAGGACTCCAATACGCTCAAGGACGGACTCGAGAGGCTCCCCAAGAGGGCCCTGGGAGGCAAGATTCGCTCATTGTCCGATGGTGTTTGAAGGATTTTGGCGTTCTCGCTTTCCACGGCCTCGGAGGCCCTTCAGATCGCTCCAAGACGGCCCACGAGGCCCCGAAGAGGGCCCCAAGACGGCCCAGGAGGCTCCCCAGACAACCCAAGTGTGCCCCAAGAGCTCCCCAAGAGGGGGCCCAGAGGGGGACCGCCAACCGATATTTCGAGGTCTCTGGCCCTAGAGGCCGCCAGTAGGCCCCCAGAGGCTACCAAGAGGCTCCCACGAAGCCCCGTGAGGCGCCCAAGAGGTCCAGGAAGCCCCAAGAGACCCCCAAGGGGCTCCCAGGGAACGCCCAAAAGGCCCCCCAACACACCCCAAGAAATCATGTCCCCAGAAAGCCTTCCAGGGACATGGATTCATCATGGGCCCGCGAGTTCCCAGAGGTCCCCAAGGGGCCCCCAGGGAGCGCCCAAGAGGCCCCCCAATACACCCGAACAAACCATGTCCCCAGAAAGCCTTCCAGGGACATGGTTCATCATGGGCCCGCGAGTCTCCAGAAGCTTCGAAGTACCATCAAGCTACAGGAGAGCTGTCTGGGAAGTCGACTGGGAACATGACTGATCGCCCTCTCGAGGCCCTCCGCAGATCGTTTCGCGCAAAGTGCCCTCTTGGACCGACGACGGCGACGACGACGACGACGACGACTACGAAACGACGAGGACGAGGACGAGGACGAGTACGAGGACGAGTACGAGGACGAGGACGAGGACAAGGACGAGAACGAGGACGACGACGACGACGACGACGACGACGACGACGACGACGACGACGACGACGACGACGACGACGACGACGACGACGACGACGACGACGACGACGACGGCGCGCCCCAAGAGGCGACGACGACATTACGGCGACGACGGCTGCACGCTCCCCAAGACGCCCCCCAAACCCATGCCGCCAGAAGGCCTTTCTGGGAGCCCGATTCATCCAGCCTCCGCACCCCTACGCAACAATTTTCCCGGAAGCCTTTCGGAATGCGGGTTGGCATGCGTGGATTGTGGTCCATTACTTCAGTGGAGCAGTGAATTCGTCAAGGCCTGGGGCCTGCTAGAACCTGAGCGCGCGCGAAGCGCGCGCGATGGTTCTAGTTTATATGTATATATACACATATCTACACATATACATATATACACTTATACGTATATCTTATAGATTTACATATATACACATATACATATATGTGTGTGCGCATGTAAATATATGTATATTTCTGATATGCAAGCTATGTGGTGCAACCTGTGTGGTTTGAGTTGTGTGGTGAGTGGTATCTTCTGTGTGGTGTCAGCCACGCAGTGAAAGTCATGCGGTGCGCCAGAGCACTGCTTGGGGGAACGAGGTGGCCCCGCGCCCCCGACGCCACGATGCCCGATACACGAACCAGTGGGCCCACGCTCCCCCCCCACCCCCCGATCCCCTGGCACGGCCGTACGCCCGCTCTCGCGACGCCGCAGCCCTTCGCGTCAAAAGGCAGGGCCGCGCTCCCGAGGCCACGGCCCCCCCCCCCCCGTGCCCAAGCGAGGCCCGCGCCCCCGGGGCCACCGGCCAGAGGCATGGGCCCGCGCGCTCCCGAAGGCCGCGACCCACTGGACGCGAGCAGTGGGCCGGCACCCTCGAGGCCACGGATACCTCGCAAAAGCCCACGGGCCCGCGCTCCCGGGAGGCCGCACGACCCCCCCGCGACAGATCTTCGGCATGCGCGCGCGAGGCCACAGGCCACCGCAGAGATCTGTGGCCCCCCGCTCCGGAGGCCACAACCCTGGTGAACGAACGAGGCACCCACGCACTCGAAGACACGATCCCTCCCCACACTCAGTGGGCCGACGCTCCCAACACCACGACCGCGCGTACAACATACACACATCCGCACAGCGTCTCCGAGCTGCCGACGCAAGGATCCGTGGTACGAACCAGTGGTGCCACGCACCTGGCACCACGACCCCTTACACAAGCGACGGATCTGTTCTCCCGGCGCCACGACCCCTTCGACAGCAAACGAGGCGTCCACTCTCTTGACTACCTACCAGACCACCCCAACCCAACCCGAAGACCCGAATTTGACCCGAATTTCGGGTTGAGGGGGGTACGAGTTTCATGTGTTTTTACAATGTTCCCCGACCCCCCCCCACTGGAAATGGATGGAAAATTGAAGCCTTCGGGTTGGATTGAGGTGATTTGGTGGGTGGTGATCTCCTGTGGCCGCGACCCCTCGAACAGAGACGATGAATCCGCGATCCCGACGCCACGATCCCTTGAACATAACGCGCTGACACGCGCACGCCGACCTGCCAGCCAGCCAGCCAGCCAGCCGGCCGGACGAGTCGCCACCCAGCCAGCCAGCCTGCCAACGGACCAGCCGATCAGGCAAACGACCGAATCCAGCCAGTCATGCAGGCAATCATGGAGGGGGCGTTGGCGGCAGGGGGCGACTCCCTTCAGACCTGCTGTGAGCGGCCCAGCCCATCCCTCGGCGCAGGCGCCCCCCGGTCCCCATACTACTCTTACCCCTCGGCAGCCTTCTCGGCCTGAAGACGTGTCCAAGACGACCCGATAGCGCCCACGACAAATGCAAGATGCCCCGAGACAAGGCCAAGACGGCTCAAAGGCCGCCCAGAAGCTACATTAGATGTCCCGAAAGGCCTCACGAAGCCCATGAGAAGCGCCCAGGGAAGCCTCTGGCGAGGCACTATGGAGCCCTAGCAACGAAACACTTGGGGAGCTTCAGTGTCTCTGCTTCTGAGCTCTTCGGCTGAAGAAACCCTTGGGAAAGCTTCAGGGAGCCCCGACAATGCCACATCACGGCCCAAGACAGGCTCCAGAGGGCCCACATACGGCGGCAAGACTCACCCGGACAATCCCACGATGGTTCAACCGAGCCTCGTTGTGCCAAAGACGGCTCCGAGGTATTCAAGAGGCCCCGAAGAGGGCCTCAAGAAGCCCCCAACGAGCTCTACAGAACCCCCCCTCAATACCTTCAAGACGAAATACAACAATCACGTGGGCTTATATTCTACAACATGGCACCAATGCATCTCAAACGACAACAGGATGGTTCTGCCGAGCCTGTCAGGATCCGCCGGCCCCCTTGTGGGGCCATCAGGCTGTTTGCCGGGAATTCGCAGTTTCCTGTACCAGTTGCAGCTTCCAGTTCTGCTTCTTGCTGCTTACTGTTCCTTGTTGACCTCTTGCTGCTTACTGTTCCTTGTTGATGGACCGCGCGAGGGGGGGAGGCCCAAAACGGGCATTTCTACCACGGAGAAATCGTCTGCTCTGAATTTCTGGGGTGGGTAAAAATTAACACCCCTCACGCAGATCGGCGGGGTCAGGGTCCAAAAACACAGGATTTGCCACATTTCTCAAATTCGGTGGCACCCCTCACGCAGATGGGCGGGGTCAGGATGAAAAAACACCAAAGATTGCCACTTGTCTGAAATTCGGGGACCCCTCACGCAGATGGGCGGGGTCAGGGTCCAAAAACACACAGAATTTGCCACATCTCTGAAATTTCCTGCCCCCCCCCCCCCCCCGCAGATCGGCAGGGTCAGGATCCAAAAACACACAGGACTTGCTACATGTCTCAAATTTGGTAGCACCTCTCACGCAGATCGGCAGGGTCAAGGTCCCCAAACACAAAGGATTTGCCACATTTCTGAAATTCGGTAGGACCCCTCACGCAGATCGGTGAGATCAGGGTGCAAAAACACAAGGGATTTGCCACATTTCTCAAATTCGGTGGCACCCCTCACGCAGATGGGCGGGGTCAGGGTGCAAAAACATACAGACTTTGCCACATTTCTGAAATTCGGTGGGACCCCTCACGCAGATCGGCGGAGTCAGGGTCCAAAAACACATGGGATTTGCCACAGTTCTGAAATTCGGTGGGACCCCTCACGCAGATCGGCAGGGTCAGGGTCCAAAAACACACAGACTTTGCCACATTTCTGAAATTCGGTGGCACCCCTCACGCAGATCGGCGGGGTCAGGCTCCATAAACACAAAGGATTTGCCGCACTTCTGAAATTCGGCGGCACCCCTCACGCAGATCCGTAGGGTCAGGGTCGAAAAAAAAACAGGTCTCGACACTGCTTCACGGCGAAGCCAAAGCCTCATGACTTCGCTCTTCCATGGCCCATTCTCCGAGAGAGGGGGCCGGCGGCAGGGGGCGAAGCCCTTACGGATAACTCGGTACAACCATCCTGCATGTTTGAACGCTGCATTGGCAACGGCGGTGGGGATTTCCGCTGAAAACTGGACACATGAGGGTTTACGGTACGATCGAATCACAGCATTGCACTGGTTTCCACACCGGGGTTATCCTCCAGGGACCTCCTCCTTCGCCAACTACCCGTCCTTACCCCCACCCAGCCCCAAAGAGGAACAACAAACACGTGGAGGATACACTACAACGCAACGGGGCGGGGAAATCGCGGTTTGTGAAAACCAACCAACTGCATATAAAAGCATGAATACGTTGGGAGAACGATAGAACATGTAATAATGAAACCAGTATCGCCACTGATGTCGGGGCGTGACAAAGAAGAGTAATACGGGCTCAACTCCTCGCCATAAATCCGTATTCTCAATACCTGCCTGTCGAAAGGCATGCTCATCAATTCCAATCGCTCTGCGAACGTGGCTTGGAACTTGTACTTCTCGAATACGTGACCTCCCGCAGGGCTGCAATATTCCAGCATGCGAACGTGCTGTATGACTTCTGCAGTCCCAACTGCATTCCCGAACGTGAATGAGGGCTTGAACAGCGTATGGTCCTTGTCCCAGTCTGGCTGCCCTATGTGCTGTATGCAGGTGGGCTCGAGCTCCTTCTCGAAGCCGTTTGCGCACCGAATCGTTACAGTCCCTTGCGGGCTGTACTTCCAATTTGTGGTAATCGTGCAATTCTCTTCGACCACAAGCTCTCTATCTGTGGCGTAGGTCACATCAGTGCGAAAATCCTTCAACATCGGGTCAATGTGGAAAAGTTGCATGGTGAAGATGGCTGTAAACGTCTCGCTCACCTGGTCGATCGATGATATTTCCAATATGTTAATCTTCACGTTGACCTTGATTGCGTTGTGAGTATCAATCTTGACCCGGGTTCCATTGCACCACTGATGTACTCCCTCGGGCTTTGGCAAGCTGTCCGTCGCTGTAGTGTGCTGCTGGACTGGTCCGTTAGGCGACGGAATGCTGTCCTTGGGCGGATCCACTTCTTGTTGCGAGAGCCCATTATCCACTACGACTTCCAGTGTAGCCATGCATGCGAGCAGCGACAGCTTTAAGTCGGGCCTGTCCCTCCACAGGGGGACGAGTCAAATATAGTCTGAAAATAGTCTGGGGACCATTTTTCGCGCATTTGTTTTACCATTTGGGAGTATGTTCTGGGTATCTTTTATTTCTCGTCGAAAATCCCCCTGTAGGGGAACACGCCCGACTTAAGGATAGCTAGCCCCCCGGGGGCCTCTGCCGCGCGGCGGGACGGGTGCCCCCGCGGTTGCGCGGTCAGGGGCGCCTCCGCGCGCGGGGAGGTCTGCTCTGAGCCGAATCGGCTGCGGAGCGCGGGGGCGGAAAGGACTCCTCCCCTCCTCCTCCTCCTCATCCTCCTCCTCCTCCTCCTCGTCCTAGTCGTACTCCTCCTCCTCCTCCTCATCTTCCACCTTCTCCTCCTCCTCCTCCTCCTCCATTTGTCCTCCTCCTCCATTTGTCCTCCTCCTCCTCCTCCTCCTCCTCCTCCTCCTCCTCCTCCTCCTCTTCCTCCTCTTCCTCCTGCTCCTCCTTCTCTTCCTCCTCCTCATCCTCCTCGTCCTCCTCCTCCTCCTCCTCCTCATAGTCGTACTCCTCCTAATTATCTTCCACCTTCTCCTCCTCCTCCTCCTCCACCTCCTCCTCCTCCTCCATGTGTCCTCCTCCTCCTCCTCCCCCTCCTCCTCCTCGTCGTCCTCGTCGTCGTCGTCCTCATCCTCCTCCTCTTTTTCAATAACTCCTCCCTAGCGGGGGAGAACCATTTGTCTCGACTTCGCCCTAGCAACGGCGGACACCACGGGACACCACGGGACACCTCGGTGCACCGCGGGGCACCGCGAGCCACCGCAGGACGGGTAGGAGGGGAATAATCATTTGCCTTGACTTCGCCCTAGCAACGGCGGGTTCATTCCTCTCGCGCGCCCACGCAGATTCGCCTCGCCCGCACGCACGACACGAACGAAACGAAACGATTCCAGGTTGTGGGTCTCCGTTTCACTGCGATCTCACCCCCAACATCCGATGCATAAACACGTACTTACAGACATGCATACATTGCATACATACATACACACATAAATACATACACACATACAGACAGGCAGACACACGTGCACATATACATACATGTATGCATACATGCATACATGCATGCATGTATACAAACATACATACGAACAATCAAGTAAACAATCATGATTACATGTATAGCTATACATACACACATACATACATACACACACATACATACATACATACATACATACATACATACATACATACATACAGGCATACGCGTATCCATACACACATACATACATACATACATACATACGTACGTACGTACGTACATACATACATACATACATACATACATACATACATACATACATACATACATACATACATACATACATACATACATACATACACACATACACACATGCATACATGCATGCATGCATGCATGCGTGCATGCATACATGCATGCATGCATACATACATACAGACACATACATACAGGCACATACATACATACATACATACATACATACATACAGACAGACAGACAGACAGACAGACAGACAGACAGACAGACATACATACAGACATACATATGTGCATGCATACATACATACATGCATACCTATCTACCGACCTGTATACATACATAAATACATACATGTACACGTAAACACACACACACACGCGCACACACACACACGCACGTAAACACGCACACACACACACACACACCACACCTATATCATATACCCATATACACCTATATGAATATATACACACACAAAAACAGTTGACAACACAAGAGCGCAACAGCTGCGAAGATGCATCGGACGGGGGGGGGGGGGCGAAAAAATGATCAGCCACACCAGCGCAGTACAAAGGTGATGGGGGTCTGGAAAGCAGGCTACCGCTGGTGGGCAGACTGCTTCTGAGCAAGGCCTGGACCGCCAGCGTCGGCCTATATACATGTGTCTTAGATCTATATAAACATACATAAATATCCAACACACACGGGGCAACCTGCCCCCCATGCCCCGAGGAACCAACACCGCCAAGAAGGAGAACAGGCCCCTTGCAGGGCAGTGGCCCAGGCGCTGCAGTCGGGAGTCAGTCGCTTGCAATCCTTGTCGCCATCTCCATCACGACAAGCTCGGCGGCGAGCCTCATCAGCCACGCAGGGCCCGCCGGATGAGGCGCGGGGAGGCCCGGAGGATGCCGAGAGGAGACAGCGCCAGCGAGACCGCGGACTCGTCTGACTGACGAGGCCCAGCACTGGGGCAGCGGGGAAAATCGCAGCAAAACGAGGCCCTGGGACTAGAGTCCCAATCGGCTCTGGAAGAACTCGCGTTCCAACACGCCGAAAAATCCCCCGCGCACGCGCGCGCGCGATTTTTGAGATTGAAAGGTCAGCTTCGGAGAGACCTTCGGCGCGGCCTGGGGCGCGCACCGCGACGGCAGCCAGGCGGTCCTCGGCTGGCGCGTCTGTCCGATCTCGAAAGAAGAACGACGGCGTCTTCGACGCGGGCGCTGGCCTCTGACGAGATGCCCCCCCCATCGCCAACACTGCCGGCGGCCCGGAGCGACTTCCACCCCGTCAACTGAGACGCCCGATCATTTTCGTCACCCCCGCGAAGACAGCGCTCCTGGCCGATGCCGGCGCGCGTCCGACCAGCGTTGCAGCAACCGTGTTAGCGCTAGTGGCGGTGGCCAGTAGGCCCCCCTCGAGCCCGCGATTCGATGACTCCACGAATCCAGACGAGCGCGGAGGCGCGCATGGGCGGGGGCTGGCCAGACGGAGGTGGAATCCCTGGTAGCATTAAGTCGGGCCTGTCCCCCTACAGGGGAATTTTGGGCGAAAAATGCAAAATACTAGAAAAATACCCCAAACATAATCAAACATAATCAACAATTCGTCCCGGGACTATGTTTTTAAACTATTTTTGAATATTCCTCCTGTAGAGGGACAAGCCCGACTTAACGATAGCACTTGAACCACGAGAAACCTCAGACCGAGAGGGAGACGCGGAATGCTGGCGGCGATCTTCGGCAACGGATTGCGGCGAGAGCGCAACTGCTACAGGTTGACCTGCAGCTCGCCCCGAGCTCCTCGCCTGAAGATGTGACTCCTGGATGTTTTGGTCTCCCAGTGGCACTTCGCGAAGAAAGCGCTGGGCAAGAACGAACACAAAACTGGGAGGCGCGCGCCCTGGGCCAGGGCCTTCATCTGTCGAGCAAGACGCGAGCCTTACTGGCGCGCGGTCGCGATGGGCGAAGTTCGGTCGGCGAGAAGATTGAATCAATATATAAGTGGTGACCTCTGGTTTGTTTTGCCGGGTCCGCCTTCAAACCCGCCCCTCGCGGGGGGGGGGGGGGCGGGGGCGCGCCTAACAGATGGGCGCCACCTCGCGACCGAAAGTCGTCTGGCGCACGCCTGGCCCACGCGCCGCGGCAGCCGCCGAAGCGGCCGCCCGCGGCTCAGATGCCGCTGCCTCCGCCGAAGCTTCAGCGTCGGCAGCTTCACTTCAGGGCCGCCCCCCGGCGCAGCGTGACATCCGCCCCCCTGCCGGCGCTTGCGCGACAGCCGTGCCCGACGCGCCTCGCGGACGCACTTTGCCTCGCGAGAGGCCGCCGCGACGCGCTCGGAAAGCGACACCGACGCGTCCTGGGCGTAGGTTGCAGAGACCCCCTGCGCCTGGCCAGCCCCTGCTCGTCGGAATCCAACACCTGGCGCTGCGCACTCTCGAAAGTCATCGAGGATGTCGACCTTGATGGGGCTGGGGATGTCAAGCTGACCTTCCGAGATGTCCGCCAGCCTGACTGCAAGCTTCGCCACCACCGCGGGAGCAGGAGGAGCCCCTGGGCGGAAGCACCGAGGCCAGCGAGCCGCGGCAGCGGCGAGCGAGCCGCGGCGCGGCGGGCAGCGGCGCCGCGAGGGCAGGTGCTGAGGTGCGGCGCGCAAGGCGCGGAGGAGCGGGAACGGGGGCCCCAACACCGCAGAAGGGATGGAGCCGTGGGTGGGGGGGGCGTAGAGAGAGAACTGGATAAACATGAACTGTCGGCGTTCCGCGCGGATTTCTTGGATCGGGAAGGAAAAGGGAAGGAGGGAAGGGAGGAAGACACCCGTGCAAATGGTGAGCATGAAGGGTGCCCGTGCTGTCGCCGCCTCTGTCGGGGACAATCGCGTCCTCCGCTAGGGGGGCCGGATCTATACATATCTACTGCTGCTCCTTTTTTCGGTCCCCCGGGACGTTTCGAAAAGCTACAGCGCGCAGGGGCAGGAGTCGACAGCTCGACGGCTGCTTCGCGAGTTGGGAGAATGCGGGCGGCGGGGCGAACCCGGGGGAGGGGGTGCGGGCACTCACTTCGCCAGTCCAAAGCATGTGCCGTACTCCATTGGACGACTCGACACAGGCGCCCAGAACCGCCCTGGCCGCCCCTCCCCCTTAGTCGCCGTCGATACGCGGGTGCTCGTAAACCCAGCTTATGCCAGGTGATTTCGGGGGGCTTTTCTCTGTGGGTGGCACAGCACCAGTGCGACATCGGGCATAGGATGCCGCATCGCTAGAGCGTGCGTTTCCGTTTTCTCTGACCCCCGCTGGAACCCGGACCGAAAAACCGAGCGGGCGGATTGGCGTCGGCCTCGTCCGGGGGCGAGCGGGTCGGCGTCGGCCTCATAAAGTGATTGCTCGCAGGGTGGGTGATTGGATCTTGTGGAATCGCACTGGCACGAATACCCCCACGCCCGAGAGCGGCCCCGTGCCCCCGAAGCACACCGACGCCGAACTTGCCCCCTGGACGCGGCCGATCGCAGTGGCAGTGGGAGATCTCGGGCCACGCGCACGCATTCACACACTAAGCCAACCATCTCTGCAGCAATCTGGCTGTCTTTTGAGGTCCTCGTCACCGCGGCATTCATCCACGAATCTCACCAGCCCTTTAGGGCGTAGGTGGTCTAGGGGGGTTCCTCTTCCAACCTCCTTCTTCCCCTTCGGGGAGGGGTTTGCCCCTCCCCCTACCCCCTCCACTGGACCTGGACGGGGAGGTTCGAGACGCGTTGGAGCGTCCCAAATGGCCCAAGACGGCTCCAAGAGCGCCTCAGAAAGCCCAAAATGAGCTCCAAGATGGCTCAAGATAGCCCAAGATGCCTCAAGATTGCTCCGAAGATGCTCCAAGAGGCCCAACGACCGCCCCAAGACGTCCCCAAGAGGCCAAAGAGCTTCCCAGGGAGGCCTCCAAGAAGCCAGAATTCCTCAAACACGTTAGACAATCAAATGATGTTCGCCTTCTCGCCCTTTCGCTTCCGATGGCAATCCGAGGCCTCAAGATGGCTCCAAGTTGGCCCAAGAGGGCCCCAAGAGGGGCCCGAGAGAGCCCCAAGACGGCCCCAAGAGCGCCCAAGAGCGTTCCAAGAGCGGCCCAAGAGGGCCCCAAGAGGCGATTTTAGAGGCTCTAGAGGGGCGACGCTGATTAGAGCTCCCCTCTTGTTTGATCGATGTTCTCCAAAATGGCCCCAAGAGGCGCCAAGGAGGCCCCAAGAGGCGCCAAGATGGCCCCAACATGGCCCCAAGAGGCCCCCAAGAGGCCTCCAAGAGGGCCCCAAGAGGCCGCCATGAGGCTCCAAGAGGCCCCCAAGAGGCCCCAAGAGGCCTCCAAGAGGTCCCCAAGAGCCCCCCAAAAAGACCCCAAGCGGCCCCAGGTCCCCCCCCGAAGCACCCAAGACGCCCAAGAGCCCCCATTGACCGCCAAGAGACCCCCAAGACGCCCGAAGAGGCTTCCAAAAGGCTTCCAAAAGGCTTCCAAGAGGCATCCGAGAGGCATTCAAGATGCTTATGGCCATTCTGCTGGTCAGCGTCCTTATCCTCCTTCTTCTCCTCCACCTTCTCATCATATTCATCTTCTTCCGCATCCTCCTCCTCCACCTCCTCCTCCTCCTCTCCCCCTCCTCCTCCTCCTCATCATCATCATCCCGACCCTCCTCCTCCTCCTCCTCCCCCTTCTCCTCCTCCTCCCCCTCGTCGTCGTCCTCCTCCTCCTCCTCTTCCTCGTCCTATTCCTTATCATTTTCCACACTCCCTCATCCATCCATCCAGCTATCCTCCTCCGTCGCCTCATCCCTCCTTCGCTCGGCTCGGCTGTCCCCCTCGTTGCTCCCACACTTCCCTGGTCACCTCAGCTCGCCAGGGCGTCGTTTCTGGATGGGCTGGTGGGGATACGCGAAGCGTCAACAATTCCATCAGAAGGAGCAGTAGCAGCAGCATGACACAAGGCTGAAAAGGGACGACGAAGACGACGACGATGCGGGGGCGTCTGCGAGAAGGAAGCAAAGACTGCAGGGGCAACATCATCAGCCAGGAGAAGGCAAATCGAAGCAGGAGGACAAGCAGCAAGAGTAAACGTCGACTGCAGAAGCATGGGCTCTGTCCGCAAACCACATTTATATAACCGATCGTCCTTGTTATCCTCCTCCTCCTCCCTGCTCCTCTCCGCTTGTTCTCGCAATTCTGCCACTGCCGCCGCCCGCTCGCCACCCCTCCTTCCTCCCCCGCTCCTCCGGCTTTTTTCATTGTCCAACTGATGTGGCGCAACTACGCCAACCCGCTAAGAGCCCGGGGGGCAATCTCTCCAGAATGCTCGGGGGGCGTAGTGGGGCCCGACATATCCGCCGATGCGACGCAACGATGAACGACATTTGGATTTCCAGTTTTCCAGGGCCCAGCCCTGGATATGTATAGATTTTCTGGCCCGATCCGCGGGCCCACCGTCGGGATGAAGGCGCTTCCGTTCTGGCCGGCAGGAGGACGAGACGGGAGGAGGCGCGCCAGGGCGCGGCCCCGTCAGAGAGACTGCTTCAAATGCTGCGAAGAGTGCTACGGGAGGGCCGTGGCTCTCAGATGCTGTGGCACTCGTGCTGGCGGGGGGGACGGCAGCTCCGCTCTCCGTTCTCAGCATTTCAGCGCGCCCGCCGTGCCATGTTGCAGAATGCCGCCGCCCTGTCTGGAGACCGTGACGATTGCGAAAACGTCGAGCAAACGCAAGCGTGAATGGATTCGAATCGAACACGGCCGTGATGACGCTGGAGCACAAACAATAGAAGGACAGGACAGCGTATGCGGAGATGTCAAAGATACCTGGGTTTAGAATGCGAATAAGGTGAGGTTCAATCTCAATGATGTATGAAACGTGCTGCATGTTTGAACATGTCAGCCAGCGCGTGCCCATAGCATTACATGATTGAGGCTGTGGAGGTGAACGCCATGTCGTGTAAGCTGTCTGGTGAAAGCTATGTCGTGTACGTTATGTGGTGTGAGCTGTGGAGATCGAAACGATGCAGCTCATACTATGTTTGCCGTAAGCAGTGCCGTGTAAGCCAAGCAGTGCGAACTGGATGCGGAAGCGTTGGGGTGCAAGCTATGCGTGATATCAGCTACATTGGCGAAAGCTAGGGCACTGTAAACTCAGAGCGCGGGGCGCCCACGAGGCGCCCACAGCGCGGCACGCGCGGCATCAACTAGGCGTAAGAGCGACCCTGGGTAAGAGCGACCTCTGGTGCGCAGCTTCTGGGGGCGCGAGGGAGCCAAACCCGAGGGCGCGGGCCGCTCACGTCGCATCGCGCTCGGCGATCGGGGGGAGCCCGACGAGCCCGCACCAAAGGCCACTCCGGCGAAAGGTCGCTCCCACGCGTGGTCGACGGCAGCGCGGCGCCACCTCGGGAGGCCCACCCCGGCGCACGGGGCGCCCCCGAGGCGCCCACAGAGGCGGCACGCGCGGCGCCCGCAGAGGCGGCACGGGCGGCAGCGCGGCGCCGCCGGCCCGCGGACACTGACGGCGGGGCACGGTGCCGAGTACAGTCGGGGCGCTGACTAAGGAACCCTTTAGGTTGGGGAGGGGCTCGGTGTTCCTTGATTTGCCTTTGGTTTTCCTTGGGCTTGCCACGGGAGATCGGAGTGCAACGTATGGGAAAAATGGGCCTCGTTCCCTATCTAGGCTTCCGTAGGTCAATGCCCCGACTGCAACTCACCAGGCCCCCAAGCATGCACGAGCCAGTCTTTCTCGGGCTCGTGCCTGCTGCGGCGGGGCATCGACAACGCGGCACCCAGCAGGACGGCGGCGGGCCTGTGACATCCACGGCTTTGCCCTGAAGCCGTCTCTCCAGCCGCGGCGTCTAGGACGAGAATGGCATCTGGCTCAGGATACATTCCAGGAGTATCTAGCGGCCCTCGTTTTTGGAGCGCGTGCGAACTCGGGGAACACCTGGAACCATGGGGGATCTCGGAAAATCTCTAAAATCATCCGAATAATAAGCATTATCATCATCATCATCATCATCATCATCATCATCATCATCATCATCATCATCATCATCAGCATCATCATCATCATCATCATAACCATAATCAGAAACACAGTCATAATCATAATCATAATCAGAATCAGAATCATAATCATAATCATAGTCCGTATCATCCTCATCCTCATCATCATCATCATCATCGTCATCATAATCATAATAATCGCATCATCATTGTAGTCGTCATCACCACCAGCATCTTCACCGCCACCATCGTAATGAGCATCATCACAGTCATCACCATCGCCATCGCCATCGCCATCGCCATCATCAGCATCATCATCATCATCATCATCATCATCATCATCATCCTAATCATCAGCATCATCATCATCGCATAATCCTTGTCGTCGTCATCACCACCAGCATCTTCACCACCACCACCATCATCATCAGCACCACCACCACCACCATCGTGATCATTATCATGATCACCACCATCATCATCATCATCATCATCATCAGCATCATCATCATAATCATCGCGATCATCATGGCCATCATCCTCATCATCATGACTGTCATTTTCATCACCATCACCATAAACAATAACCATCACTATCATCATCACCATCACCATGACCATCATCATCATCACCACCATCGCCATCATCACAATCAGCATCACCATCACCATCACTATCACCATCATCATCACAATCATCATCATCGCATCATCATTGTCGTCGTCATCACCACCAGCATCTTCACCACCACCACCACCACCACCATCATCAGAACCACCACCACCACCACCATCGTGATCATTATCATCATCACCACCATCATCATCACCATCACCACCACCATCACCATCGCCATCACCATCACCGTCACCATCATCACCATCACCATCACCATCACCATCACCATCACCATCATCATCATCATCATCATCATCATCATCACCATCTTCACCATCATCACCATCTCGGAACATCTCTGAAATCATCAGAATAATAAGCGTAATCATCACCATCATCATCATCACCACCACCACCACCACCACCATCATCATCATCATCATCATCATCACCATCGTCACCATCATGATAATGATCGTGATCATGATCATGATCATCATGATCATGATCATGATCGTCTCGTTTCCCCGAAAGACCCACAACAACCAAACAAAAACTGCATCCCGCGGCCTGGCTCTGCGCGCTTTGTCCTGGACACGGTGCCGCCGACGCGAAGGCATGTGGCCCGCCGGCAGGCCGCGCGAGCCGGGGCACGGGCAAGCGACAGCGCCGGCAGGCCTACCGACGGCCCCTGGCTCCCGCCCGCGCCTTCTCCTCCTCCTCGTCCGCCTCCTCGTCCGCCTCCTCCTCCAACTCCTCCACCTCCTCCTCCTCCGCCTCCTCCTCCTCTTCCTCCTCCTCCTCTTCCTCCTCCTCTGCCTTATCATTATCATTATCATCATCATCATCATCATCATCATCATCATCATCATCATCATCATCATCATCATCATCATCATCAGCAGCAGCAGCAGCATCATTATCATCATCACCATCATCCTCATCCTCAACCTCAACCTCATCCTGATCCTCATCATCATCATCATCATCATCATCATCATCATCATCATCATCATCATCATCATCATCATCATCATCATCATCACCATCATCATCATGATCATCATCATCATCATCATCATCATCATCATCATCATCATCATCATCATCATCATCATCATCATCTTCATCATCATCATCATCGTCATCATCAGCATCATCAGCATCATCACATCATCATCATCATCATAATTCATCATCATCATCATCATCATCATCATCGTCATCATCGTCATCATTCGTCATCACCACCAATCATTATCATTATCATCATCCTCTTTACACTCCTCCACCTCCTCTTCCTCTTCCTCCCTCCTCCTCCTCCTCCTCCTCTTCATCAGCATCATCACCACCACCCCACCATCATCATCATCATTCATCATCACTCATCACATCATCATCATCGTCGTCGTCCGTCGTCGGTCGGCGTCGTCCGTCCGTCGTCGTCGTCGTCGTCATCATCATCATCATCATCATTCATCATCATCATAGCTCTCATCATCATCATCATCATCATCATCATCATCATCATCATCATCATCATCATCATCATCATCACAACATCCTCATTTTTTCCTCCTCGTCCTCCTCTTACCACTCCCCTCCTCTCTTCCTCTCTTCCTCCTCCTTCCCTCCTCTTCCCCTTTCCTCCTCCTCTGCTCCTACTCTTCCTCCTCTTCCGTCCTCCTCCTCTCCCCTTCCTCCTACCTCCTCTTCCTCTCCTCCTCCTCCTCCCATCCTCCTCTTTGTATGTTCTCCCTCAACTCCTCGTCCTCCTCCCTCCTCCTCCTTCCCCCGTCTCCTCCTCCTCCTCCTCCTCGTCCTCCTCCGCCTCCTCCTCCTTCTCGCGCCTCCTTCCTCCTCCTCCTCCTCCTCCTCCTCTTCCTTCCTCCCCCCCCTCCTCCTCCTCCTCCTCCTCCTCTCCTCCTCTCCTCCTCCTCCTCCTCCTACTCCTCCTCCTCCTCGTCCCCTCCTCCTCCTCTTCCTCCTCCTCCTCCTCTTCCTCCTCCTCCTTTCGTTCCTCCACTTCCTCCTCCTCCTCCTCCTCGTTACCGTCCTCCCTTGCAAATATAGTGGGGGCCTTTTTTTCCCTTGGAGGCGCATTGATTTTGAGCCGCGATTTTCACACATTCACTAATCGCTCGCCCTGCGGCACTGGTCCTGCTGAACAAGTCGGCGCGATATCATCGATCGCTCCCATCCGGCGGATAACCCGGGTGTAGAAACGGGCGAGATACACGTAGCAACAGCGACTTGGTAATGCATGCGTTCTTACAAATAGGCAGTGGAACGAAGCCAGAAGGCCATTCCAGCAAATCCACGTGTAGGGAGCTGATAAGAAATGGTGCAAGCAGAAGACGGCCATGCTTTGGGCGCAAGCGCGCTGGGGCCTCCGCGAACACGCGATGCGCGATGTTCGAAAATCGCAAAGCACCGAATCATACAATATGTGTAACCTATTATGTCCCATAAGTCTTCAACCACATGGAGGGCACCACGATCACAACTGATCGTGGACTATAGTCCCCGGCAACACGGTTCGCGATGAGAAACCGGGTATATATCAGAGCGAGGGGGCCGAACGGTCATTCACTGTCCCTGGGTGCGTGGCTGAAGTGGAATTCCGCAGTGCGGATTCTCGTTGTTGTTGTTGTTGTTGTTGTTTGTTTGTTGTTGTTTGTTGTTGTTTGTTGTCGTCGTCCCATCCGCAAGCCGCCCCGCGACCCACCCGCGACCCACCCCGCGACCCAACCGCGACCCACCCGCGACCCACCCGCGACCCACCCGCGACCCACCCCGCGACCCACCCCGCGACCCACCCCGCGACCCACCCCGCGACCCACTCCGCGACCCACCCCGCGACCCGCCCGCGGCCCACCCCGCGACCCAACCGCGACCCACCCGCGACCCACCCCGCGACCCACCCGCGACCCACCCGCGACCCACCCCGCGACCCACCCGCGACCCACCCGCGACCCAAACCACGTTCAAGGTACAAACCACTATTTTCGGCGCCTGCGGCGGGCATTTTGCATTCCTTCCAGGTTGAGAGCCCGCGACCCACCCCGTGACCAACTCGCGACCAACCCGCGACCCAAACCACGTTCAGGGTACAAACCATATTTTTCGGCGCCTGCGGCGGGCACCTTTTGCATCCGTTTCAGGTGGAGAGCCCGCGGCCCACCCGCGACCACGTTCAGGGTACAAACCAATGTTTGTTGGCGCCTGCGGCGGACATGTTTTGCATTCGTTCCCGGTGGAGAACCCGCGGCCCACCCGCGACCCAAACCGCGTTCAGTGTACAAACCAATGTTTGTTGGTGCCTGCGGCGGGCTGCTTTTGCATTCCTTCCAGGTGGAGGTGCAGAGCCCGCGACCCACCCGCGACCTAAACCACGTTCACTGAACAAACCAATGCCGCACAAGCGCGACGGCGGATTTTTGCATGCCGCCTGAGCCCGCAAGGACCTCTTCAAGCCCCGCGCATCCACGCCAGCCCGTCCAGCAACTCTGCCCTGGCGAGTTGCCTTAATCAAAGAAGGCGGGGGGCATAAAGTGGAAAAAAGGATTGCGTTGCAGTTACCTTGGGGAAGGAGGGGGAGGCAGGAGGAATAAACAGGGGACGAGAAGAACGCGGAAGAATAGAGGATGTAAGGAGAATGTGGAGAAAGAAAAGGAGGAGCAGGAGGACGAGGAGGGGGGGTGGGGGAGGAGGAGGACGAGGAGGGGGAGGAGGGGGAGGACGATGATGATGATGATGATGATGATGATGATGCTGATGATGATGATGATGAATGATGATGATGATGATGCTGATGATGATGATGATGATGATGATGATGATGATGATGATGATGATGATGATGATGATGATGATGATGGTGATGATGATGATGATGATGATGATGATGATGATGGACGACAATGGGAGGACGATGATGGAGGCCGATGAGGGGGAGGACGACAATGGGAGGACGATGATGAAAGGACGAGGGGGGGGAGAGGGAGGACGAGGAAGAAGGAGGAGGAGGAGGAGGACGAGGTGGAGGAGGAGGATGACGATGACGATGAGGACGAGGACGAGGAAGAGGAGGAGGAGGAGGAGG